GGAAATAGGTTCAGGATTTCCATGAATATGTACAGATGTGGAATATAATATTTTTTTAATTTTTATTAGTTTTTTTGTTTTTTCATTTATTTTTATTAGTTGGAGGCTAATTACTTTAAAATATTGTATTGGTTTTTGTCATACATTGACATGAATCAGCCATGGAGTTACATGTATTCCCCATCCCGATCCTCCCTGCCACCTCCCTCTCCACCGGATCCCTCTGGGTCTTCCCAGTGCACCAGGTCTGAGAACTTGTCTCATGCATCCAACCTGGGCTGGTGATCTTCTTTCACCCTAGATAATATACATGTTTCAATGCTGTTCTCTTGAAACATCCCACCCTCGCCTTCTCCCACAGAGTCCAAAAGTCTGTTCTGTACATCTCTGTCTCTTTTTCTGTTTTGCATATAGGACTATCGTGACCATCTTTCTAAATTCCATATATATGTGTTAGTATACTGTAATGGTCTTTATCTTTCTGGCTTACTTCACTCTGTATAATGGGCTCCAGTTTCATCCATCTCATTAGAACTGATTCAAATGAATTCTTTTTAATGGCTGAGTAATATTCCATGGTGTATATCTACCACAGCTTCCTCATCCATTCGTCTGCTGATGGGCATCTAGGTTGCTTCCATGTCCTGGCTATTATAAACAGTGCTGCGATGAACATTAGGGTACACGTGTCTCTTTCAGATCTGGTTTCCTCGGTGTGTATGCCCAGAAGTGGGATTGCTGGGTCATATGGCAGTTCTATTTCCAGCTTTTTAAGAAATCTCCACACTGTTTTCCATAGCGGCTGTACTAGTTTGCATTCCCACCAACAGTGTAAGAGGGTTCCCTTTTCTCCACACCCTCTCCAGCATTTATTGCTTGTAGACTTTAGGATAGCAGCCATCCTGAATGGCGTGTAATGGTACCTCATTGTGGTTTTGATTTGCATTTCTCTGATAATGAGTGATGTTGAGCATCTTTTCATGTGTTTTTTAGCCATCTGTATGTCTTCCTTGGATAAATGCCTGTTTTGTTCTTTAGCCCAGTTTTTGATTGGGTCATTTATTTTTCTGGAGTTGAGCTGGAGGAGTTGCTTGTATATTTTTGAGATTAATCCTTTGTCTGTTGCTTCATTTGCTATTATTTCCTCCCAATCTGAGGGCTGTCTTTTCACCTTGCTTATAGTTTCCTTTGTTGCGCAAAAGCTTTTAAGTTTCATTAGGTCCCATTTGTTTATTTTTGCTTTTGTTTCTAATATTATGGGATGTGTGTCATAGAGGATCCTGCTGTGATTTATGTCGGAAAGTGTTTTTCCTATGTTCTCCTCTAGGAGTTTTATAGTTTCTGGTCTTACATTTAGATCTTTAATCCATTTTGAGTTTATTTTTGTGTATGGTGTTAGAAAGTGTTCTAGTTTCATTCTTTTACAGGTGGTTGATCAGTTTTCCCAGCACCACTTGTTAAAGAGGTTGTCTTTTTTCCATTGTATATCCTTGCCTCCTTTGTCGAAGATTAGGTGTCCATAGGTGTGTGGATTTATCTCTGGGCTTTCTATTTTGTTCCTTTGATCTATATTTCTGTCTTTGTGCCAGTACCATACTGTCTTGATGACTGTGGCTTTATAGTATAGTCTGAAGTCAGGCAGGTTGATTCCTCCAGTTACGTTCTTCTTTCTCAAGATTACTTTGGCTATTCGAGGTGTTTTGTATTTCCATACAAATTGTGAAATTATTTGTTCTAGTTCTGTGAAAAATACCGTTGGTAGATTGATAGGGATTGCATTGAATCTATAGATTGCTTGGGTAGTATAGCCATTTTGACAATATTGATTCTTCCAATCCATGCACACGGTATATTTCTCCATGTGTTTGTGTCCTCTTTGATGTCTTTCATCAGTGATTTATAGTTTTCTATGTATAAGTCTTTTGTTTATTTAGGTAGATATACTCCTAAGTATTTTATTCTTTTTGTTGCAATGGTGAATGGTATTGTTTCCTTAATTTCTCTTTCTGTTTTCTCATTGTTAGTGTATAGGAATGCAAGAGATTTCTGTGTGTTAATTTTATATCCTGCAACTTTACTATATCCATTAATTAGCTCTAGTAATTTTCTGGTAGAAACTTTAGGGTTTTCTATGTAGAGGATCATGTTATCTGCAAACAGAGAGAATTTCACTTCTTCTTTCCTATCTGGATTCCTTTTACTTCTTTTTCTGCCATGATTGCTGTGGCCAACACTTCCAAAACTATGTTGAATAGTAGTGGTGAGAGTGGGCACCCTTGTCTTGTTCCTGATTTTAGGGGAAATGCTTTCAATTTTTCACCATTGAGGGTAATGCTTGCTGTGGGTTTGTCATATATAGCTTTTATTATGTTGAGGTATGTTCCTTCTATTCCTGCTTTCTGGAGAGTTTTAATCATAAATGGGTATTGAATTTTGTCAAAGGCTTTTTCTGCATCTATTGAGATAATCATATGGTTTTTATCTTTCAATTTGTTAATGTGGTGTATTACATTGATTGATTTGTGGATATTAAAGAATCCTTGCATTCCTGGGATAAAGCCCATTTGGTCATGGTGTATGATTTTTTTAATATGTTGTTGGATTCTGTTTGCTAGAATTTTTTTAAGGATTTTTGCATCTATGTTCATCAGTGATATTGGCCTGTAGTTTTCTTTTTTTGTGGCATCTTTGTCTGGTTTTGGAATTAGGGTGATGGTGGCCTCATAGAATGAGTTTGGAAGTTTACCTTCTTTTGCAATTTTCTGGAAGAGTTTGAGTAAGATAGGTGTTAGCTCTTCTCTAAATTTTTGGTAGAATTCAGCTGTGAAGCCATCTGGTCCTGGGCTTTTGTTTGCTGGAAGATTTCTGATTACAGTTTCAATTTCCTTGCTTGTGATGGGTTTGTTGAGATCTTCTATTTCTTCCTGGTTCAGTTTTGGAAAGTTATACTTCTCTAAGAACTTTTCCATTTCTTCCAAGTTGTCCATTTTGTTGGCATAGAGCTGCTGGTAGTAGTCTCTTATGATCCTTTGTATTTCAGTGTTGTCTGTTGTGATCTCTCCATTTTCGTTTCTAATTTTGTTAATTTGGTTCTTCTCCCTTTGTTTCTTAATGAGTCTTGCTAATGGTTTGTCAATTTTGTTTATTTTTTCAAAAAACTAGCTTTTAGCTTTGTTGATTTTTGCTATGGTCTCTTTAGTTTCTTTTGCATTTATTTCTGCCCTAATTTTTAAGATTTCTTTCCTTCTACTAACCCTGGGGTTCTTCATTTCTTCCTTCTCTAGTTGCTTTAGGTGTAGAGTTAGGTTATTTATTTGGCTTTTTTCTTGTTTCTTGAGGTAGGCCTATAATGCTATGAATCTTCCCCTTAGCACTGCTTTTACAGTGTCCCATAGGTTTGGGGTTGTTGTGTTTTCATTTTCATTCATTTCTATGCATATTTTGATTTCTTTTTTGATTTCTTCTATGATTTGTTGGTTATTCAGAAGCATGTTGTTTAGCCTCCATATGTTTGAATTTTTAATAATTTTTTCCTGTAATTGAGATCTAATCTTACTGCACTGTGGTCAGAAAAGATGACTGGAATGATTTCAATTTTTTTGAATTTACCAAGACTAGATTTATGGGCCAGGATGTGATCTATTCTGGAGAAGGTTCTGTGTGCACTTGAGAAAAAGGTGAAGTTGATTGTTTTGGGGTGAAACGTCCTATAGATGTCAATTAGGTCTAGCTGGTCCATTGTGTCCTTTAAAGTTTGTATTTGCTTGTTCATTTTCTGTTTAGTTGATCTATCCATAGTTGTGAGTGGGGTATTAAAGTCTCCCACCATTATTGTATTACTATTAATTTCATCTTTCATACTCGTTAGCGTTTGCCTTACATATTGCGGTGCTCCTATGTTGGGTGCATATATATTTATAATTGTTATATCTTCTTCTTAGATTGATGCTTTGATCATTATGTAGTGTCCTTCTTTGTCTCTTTTCACAGTCTTTATTTGAAAGTCTATTTTATCTGAGATGAGTATTGTGACTCCTGCTTTCTTTTGGTCTCCGTTTGCGTGAAATACTTTTTTCCAGCCCTTCACTTTTAGTCTGTATGTGTCCCTTGTTTTGAGGTGGATCTCTTGTAGACAGCATATATAGGGGTCTTGCTTTTGTATCCATTCAGCCAGCCTTTGTCTTTTGGTTGGGGCATTCAACCCATTTATATTTAAGGTAATTATTGATAGGTATGGTACCGTTGCCATTTACTTTGTTGTTTGGGGTTCACATTTATATAACCTTTCTGTGTTTCTTGTCTAGAGAAGATCCTTTAGCATTTGTTGAAGAGCTGGTTTGGTGGTGCTGAATTCTCTCAGCTTTTGCTTGTCTGTAAAGCTTTTGAGTTCTCCTTCATATCTGAATGAGATACTTGCTGGGTACAGTAATCTAGGTTTTAGGTTATTCTCTTTGATTACTCTAAGTATGTCCTGCCATTCCCTTCTGGCCTGAAGGGTTTCTATTGATAGATCAGCTGTTATCCTTATGGGAATCTCTTTGTGTGTTATTTGTTTTTTCTCCCTTGCTGCTTTTAATATTTGTTCTTTGTGTTTGATTTTTGTTAATTTCTTAATCTACCAATTTTCTACTCTCAACTTGTTGATAGTGGAGAAACCAGCATGTCAAAACTTATGAAAAATCAATTTAATAGTATTTCAACATTTTGTAGTGTGATGGCATAATGACATCAGGGTGGGATTTAGTCACCATTCAGATGTTTTACAAATCTGGGCATGTCTAAGTCTGAATAATTTATGTACTGAAATGAACCCCTTACATGATGATCCAGTATTCCATATCAACAAATAAAATGATAATTCACCTCCTGCATTTCATGACTCTGTTACCATTTATTTTGTCTTATTCTTTTGGGGGTTACTCCACTAGTTCCCAAATTTTTGAGCCATTGAATGCCTGAAACACTCCAGGTTTGCTTTAATTGCAACATGCACAGATTTGTCACGGAAACAGTTTTTGAAATGCTTTCAGAAGAGCATTTTTTACATCTTTGTTCCTCAAACTATAGATAAGTGGATTCAGCATGGGAATAACAATGGTGTAGAATACAGATGCCACCTGTGCCTGGGTCAAGGAGGATGTGTTTTCAGGCTGCAGATACGTGAAAATCAGGGACCCATAGAAGATGGTCACCCCCATGATGTGGGACACACAGGTGGAAAAGGCTTTCTGTCTGCCTGCTGCAGACCGGATCTGCAGGATGGCTGAGATGATGGCCATGTAGGTGACTGTGATGATGAAGAGAGAGCTAAGAAGGGTGAAGCCAGCTAAAACAAAGATCACCATTTCTGTGTTGAATGCATCCACGCAGGACAGGGCCAGTAGAGCTGTGGTGTCACAGAAAAAATGATTGATGCTGACATCACAGAATGCCAACCTGCTGATCACACAGATGGAGACCAGAGAATTGGTGAAGCCAATCATATAAGGCATGACTCCCAACCCCCTGCACACCTTCTGGGACATGACCACAGAATACATTAAGGGATTGCAGATAGCTACATAGCGGTCATAGGCCATGGACCCCAGAAGAAAGCACTCACTACACACTAAACCCACAAAAAAGTACATCTGAACAAAGCAGCCAACAAAGGAGATGGTTTTCCAGATTGACTGGAGATTTACCAGTGCCTTGGGTGTTACAGTAGTGGAATAAAATACATCAATGGATGCTAAATTGCTAAGGAAAAAGTACATAGGTGTGTGGAGCTGAGAGTCGATTCTGATTAACAGAATTAGTCCAAGGTTCCCCAAAACTGTGAAGAGATAAATAAAAAGAAACATCAAGAAGAGGCTGATTTGTAGTTCAGGGTGATTTGCAAATCCAGAGAGGATGAAGAATGTCACCTCCGTGAAGTTGTTCCCAGCCATTTCTGTCCACTCAGATCCTTGCTTCTCTGCTGAAAAATGATAGAAAAAGTTAGAGGAAATTCAAGTCCAAAGGAATGATAAGTGGCACTAACCTAGACTCCCATAATGAGAGAGTAGCAGATGGGAAGCAAATATTAAATGACTTCAAGTTGATTGAGAATTTGTGCATGATTTTAATTTTTTAAAAAAATAGAACTAACAAACAATAATCAAAATTCTAAGTTCACATTCATTAGAATTGATTGCACTCTAAAAAAACCCCCAAATCTATCTGGATTGCTTTGTAGAGAAATTTCTCTACAGATAAACCATCCTCTTCCCTTGTCTATTACTGGGACCTAGTTCATATGCTTAGAAACTTACATACTGTAATTGATTATATATTTTTCTTAGAAAACATGAAACTCAGCTGGAAATTTAAATTTTGATATGTAATGCTACCTTATGTGGCAGTCATAAGATTTCAACAGCCAATAAGTACTTTACAGGGTTGTTTTAGGTGCTTGATGTGATCTTCTATGGGCATATCTAATAGTTCCTTGGACTTAATAAAACTTGCTAAATTTTGCAAATATATATGTATATAATTTATAAAATATATATTTTACAAAATTTTATATATAAACATATGCATATATTTACATATAGTAAGTGAGACATTATATATAATGTATATATATATAAAATGGAGAAAGGCATGGCAACTCACTCCAGCATTCTTGCCTGGAGAATCCCATGGACAGAGGACCCTGGTGAGCTAGAGTCCATGGGTCACAAAGATTTGGACACGACTGAGTGACTAACACACACACACACACACACACACACACACACTCTCTCTCTCTCTCTATATATATATATATATATATATGTGTGTGTGTGTATGTATAGATGTATGTATTTAAGTCCCCTAATACAAACTCCCAAGTTGTGAACTTTCAAAGATGTAAATGTGCGTTTACATGTTCAATCACATGTCAGCTTACATGTCTGGCGAGCGTTGTCCGTCCTCTACAATCTGTTGTGCTTTTGTGTAATTTACAATAATGTACAAATTGCTATGCGGAGTACAGTAGTTCAGGATCTTTATTCCAAGTGCAGGTTGGGCACAAGCAAGCATAAAAGCAGCAGGGATGAAGCTGGTACTGCTCAAAAGAGAATCAGGAAATGGCAAGCGGATTTGATTTATTTGAGGAGACACCGTTAGGTTTTTGAGGCACAGGACCCGAATGTAGAATGGTGCACGAAAGCTGCAGCAGCCGTTCAGAATGCAACCCGTTGCTAGCCTGTCTCTAGGAGAAGAATAAAAGAGCTACTACTCAGACATCTCTGCATCGATTTTTCAAGAGGGCATTCATTGATAGAACTGAATCCGGCAAGGAACAAAAACCTGTGCATCGGCGTCAGGCCTGAGTGACATCGCAGCTTGCCTTGTTACTATCGCTGTGGATCTTCAGCTCTGCCATCTCCTAGCTCCTCTCTGCTCTGCACTTGGTGACTTCTCTTGCCTGCTCACTCAGTGCCAGCCCCTGTATGCCAGCTGTTGTTCTGCAGTACTGCACTTTTCAAAGTACTGCACTGTAAGATTTAAAACTTTCCTTCCTCTTTTGTGTTTGTTTTTTATGCATTAGCTGTGCAAAAATTATTATAAACCGACTACAGGAAAAAATTATATAGCGGACTGTGTTATCTGGATACCTAGGCTAACTTTGTTGGACTTAATGAACAAATTGGACTTACCAATGTGCTCTAGGAATAGAACTCACTCATATGTAGGGGGCTTATATGTTAATATAAAAGGAAACAAACATCTTGTTTATTTTATGCTGCTGCTAAGTTGCTTCAGTCGTGTCCGACTCCGTGTGACCCCCTAGATGGCAGCCCACAGGCTACCCCGTCCCTGGGATTCTCCAGGAAAGAATACTGGAGTAGGTTGCCATTTCCTTCTCCATTGCCTTCTCCATGTTTATTTTATATGTTAATGCTAAAATCCTCTTTACTTTTTTTTTTCTATCACATACCCTTTCTTTCTATCAGTGAACATTTCTAAATGGGGAACATAGTCTATGATGCAGCCACATTGTTTTGTCTCTCTGGTTAGAACCAGGTTTATTGCCAGCATGAAGCACTTGGTTATCTACAACATCAGGCAATAACTAATTCATTGCCAATAGCAGGATTCAACTCAATAATATGATGCAAAGAAGCCTACAAATGGTAAAAGAATATGATTTGTTATATTTAAAATAGAAAATTAAAATATAAAGTGATTTCACTAAAAATTAAAGAACTTATTTTCCTAGTTATATTGACATAAGCATGTGATAAATAAGTAAAACTGAAACTGGTATGATATTAATGTGGTTTATTTCAGACTTACAGCACTCTGCTTGAGTAGCCCAAAGGAATCTTATGTTATATAAAGTACACCTAATCCCTTAGTATCTCTCATGTTCACAGTGCTCCTATTTATTTATCCATTCATTCCTTTATTTAGCATTTAGTCAATGAAGACATTTTGTCTTGGCTGTCATTAAAGGCGCTTTTCTTAAAGCATACTGGAAGGTGCAGGTGTATAAAAATAAAAATTGTGTCAATGTGAGAATCACACATAACTACACAATAATTAAAAGAAGAGGATGTTAAAATTAGACTTACCTGGGATTTAGTCATCAAAAGGAAACTCTCTTTTCATTCAGGACACTTCCACCTTTTTCAGGTTTATGATCAGACAATAGGAAGACAAAACATTACTTAATACTTGCAAAATTCATCATAATTTTTGGCACATAACTATATTTGTCTCACTATAATTCTGAACTGTATGAATTCCAAGTAAGATAACTTGGATCTGTTGCTGTTTTTGCTGCTGCTGTGTTTGTTATCACAGAGCTCTATTTCTAATATAATGGACCCTTTATGATATTAGGAAGTTGGTGGGGAAAATGGTGGTGGTTTTGATGACAATTATGGAAAATACATATATCACCTTCCAATGGCAGGATGAAATAAGAGCCAAATTAGCAGAGTGATTGTTTATTTGCATGTACCTTCTCAAGAATTCAAATCTATTTTTTAGTTCAAATTTAGATTTTATTCAGAATTATTTTTGTTCTCAGGGTTTTTATAAAACAGTCTCATGACAAAGAATTGTCTTCAAAAATCTAGTCTTAAACTGTCTTTTTATACCAAAATCTCTTTTTAAATTCACAAATATATATCATAAAGGAACTGGTCAATTAGCACCTTTTATCTCTTGAGATTTGTATTTTAATTGTACCCCAAGGTTTATTTTTAATTTGTATGGGATGCATCTGCAGTGAAAATGTTTGGAAATAAATAGTCCTTATTTGTGTGTATTTGTTTAAATGTCCATAGGCATACTGAAAAATGCAATTTAATACAGTTTTCAAAATTATATTTATTTTATATTATACATTTAAATTATTAAACATTACATTTGTTTTTATTATATACATTTTATATTTTCTGTTATTAAATTGTTATATATATTTTATATTATTAATATTATATAAAATATATATAACAGCTTTTCTAAAATATGAAATATATATGAGATTCATAGTATTAGAAAATATCAGCTAACTACTGCCCCTTTCTAAGCTTCCCAGGTAACTCTCCCAGCAAAGAGAAGTAAGTCTTCCTATCTACTGATTTAACATTGAAATCATGTTACCACCTATGTTAATAAATCATGTATGCTTTTATTTTTTTTAATGCAGGCATTCAGTGATTTTTAATTGACTTGCTCCATGGTATGTACATAAAATAACTGGCTGAGAATAAGTACTCCATCTAGAAAAATAAACACAAAATCTTAAGTAAAATTAGAGTTTGTGCTTTGAGTTTGATGCTCAGTGGAATGGTCAGTACTTTGAAAAAATTTAATTATATTATTATAGTTTCTTTATTTTCTAAGCATCTTGGTAAGATACACTCTATAAAGATTCTAGGTTAGTAAATCTCTGACTGGCCCACAAAAGCGAAATTTTTTTTCATTTATTTTTATTAGTTGAAGGCTAATTACAATATTGCAGTGGTTTTTGTCATACATTGACATGAATCAGCCATGGATTTACATGTGTTCCCCATCCCAATCCCCCCCCCCACCTCCCTCTCTACCCCATCCCTCTGGGTCTTCCCAGTGCACCAGGCCCGAACAGACT